TAGCTAAATTTCGGAAACTGGGTCAGTCGCCAATAAGAAACGCAACATTGAAAATCCCATAAGGAATAAAGCAATAGAAGAGGGGGTTTTAGGGCAACTTTATGTAGATCCTACGTTAAGTACACGCAAAGTGGAGACTGTGTGTGGTATTAGTCGACGTACTGTCCAACGGATTCTAAATGCCCATAGATTTCATCCGTATAAAATTCACCTGGTACAAGAACTTAATAAAGACTATTTTGATCGGCGATTACAATTTTGTGAAGATACGAGTGAACGAATTATAAACGATGGATATTTTCTATTCAACACTTGCTTTTCCGACGAATGTCCCTTTTTCTTGAATGGCGTAGTAAATCGTCATAACTGCCGATATTGGTCCGATTCTAATCCCAGAATTTATCATGAGGTTCATACACAGCAGCCACAAAAAACAAAATGTTTGGGGTGGTATTTTTGGCGATAATTTAGTTGATCCTTTTTTATTACCTGAAAATTTGACCGGTGAAATGTATTTGGAATTACTGGAAGACGCCATAGATTCTGCATTAACTGCCATAATTGAAAATCAGAATGAGAGGCGGTACATTGCTAATAGGTTGATGTTCCAACAGGATGGTGCCCCACCACATTACGCATTACGTGTTCGACAATATTTGGATTAGACGTTCCCAGATCCATGGATTGGTAGAAGAGGTGCCATTGAGTGTCCCCAAGATCGCCAGATTTATCACCTTTGGATTTCTTTATGTGGGGTCATTTAAAAAGCGAAATCTATGCTACTCAGCCAACATCATTATAAGACCTGCGACAAAGAATTGTGAATGAGTGAATCTTTATTATTGCATGGAGAATCATGGTGGCCATTTTCAACATTTACTTGCCTAATGAGTCAGTTCATTCTTCATTTTTAAATTACTTTGCTGCCAAATGTATTGATCCCGACTAATGATGATGTATTAGTTTTATTTAAGCTTTAAATCAATAAATCCTCAAAAGTACTGAACTGAAGTACATTAATTTTATATCATTATAAATGGAATTGAAAGACCTTTAAAATAAGGTATCACTTGATCCCCCTTTCCATTTAAGATTTTGGGGGTGGTGTCACCCCCGCTTAGGGGGCTGCACGCGCTAACGTGATTTTTTGCCAAACTTGTGTCCCCCTCGAAAACAAAATCGACGGGTCTGAGCGTTTTTAAAAAAAAAAATGAGCTGCCAGTAAATGCATCTGTTTCGTTTTCGATGCGCCACCCTGTATAATTTGAGTGCATATTACTGTAGATAATTTTGGAAAATACATATCAATTGTTGTTAAAAAAATTGGCTGGTCCTGTAAACCAGGAGTCGTGAGTTCAATCCTCACATTAGGAAGTTTGTGGTATAAATTTTTTTTTAAAACGCTTTTTTATAAGCTTGGCCTGTAGTTTGTAACGGAATTAGATTAACATGAAACTCCGCACACGTATCAAGGTCTGATGATAATGCAATGATTTGATAACATTTTTCCATTCTCCTTATTAGGAACGCCAGGATTGATTAATTCTTTTATAGATCCTCTGTAGGGGAGTAAGAGAGATAGAGCTAGCGTGCGATCTTGCTGCTGGACAAGCTTATTTAGCACTTAGTCGCGTAAGATCTGTAGACGGTATTCGGATTGAAGAACTTGATTGCTCTAAGTTAACAGGAAACACCCCATGCTTTAAATGAAATGATTAGATTACGAAATGATTCGTGAGACATTTCAATACCACATGTTCACAAAAAACTACTTGATAAAACTAAAATAATAGTATAAAAACTAAAAAAAAAACACTCATTAATAGCTAACCGAATTAAAAAGTAGAAAATAATTTTTAATTACAAAGAGTTTATATTACAGTAGTAGATGGTCGAACAATCAATCATTAATGACTCAAAATAAAATTATTCAATTCAGAGTGAAAAGCGTGAGGTGCATTCTACTACATTTTCATAACTCTCCCCTGTGACGAGGGCTGTCTCTTAAGTTTTGCGTATGGAAATAAAACAACACGGTAGGTAGTTTTAAATGACTTTATTGTTTTTCGAAGTACTTATTCCACTCGTTTGCTGGCAGATCCAAAACGGCATTTTTGAATGCGTCAACTGCTGTTTTTAATTTTCGGGAAAGTAAAGAAATCGTTAGGACTTAGATCCGGACTATATGGAGGATGGTCTAATAATTCCACGTTTTCTTCCATTAAATACTGGTTTGTTTTTTGGGCTGTGTGCGAGCTTGCATTGTCTTGGTGGAGGATGATTCTTCTTTCGGGGTTGATTTTTCGAAGCTCGGTGATAACTTTTGGCAAACAAATAGTGGTATACCAATCCGCAGTAACAGTTCTTTGCTCATTAAGAGGAATTGATGCAATATGACCCGCTTTTGACACAAATGTCGCGACCATCTTTTTCGAAACACTTCGAGAACGGATGACTTTTGTTGGCTTTTCTTCACCTTGGAACACCCAAACCGCCGACTGTCGTTTATTTTCTGGTTCATAACAGTAAATCCACGATTCATCACCACTAACAATGCTGGAAACATTTTTTGAGTTTCCGGAATTGAAACGGTCAAGCGTTTTTTTGACACCAATTAAGCCTGGCTGCTTTCTGCTCTTCAGTCAACAGGTGGGGTATCCAACGAGAAACTGATTTTCTGGTAACCCAGAAACCAGACAATAAAAATATTTGATTTTTTCTGAAGATTGTGTCAAAGTGCTCCAATTTTGGTTGTTCTAAGTTGACGAGTTAAGTTTGATTACAGTGCGAGCCGCGGCCTTTTGTGCTTGCGAACTTGCTCGACTGTGTAGTCCACGGACTCACGCAACAGAGGGTTGCTGTGCGATTCAGCTAGGCTATAGCGCCGCTGCGCCTGTTGCTTAATGTAGTCCTTTAGGTAAGGGACATCGAGATCTCTATGTAGAGTTTCGTTAGAGACATACCATGGGGCATCAGCAATAGTGCGCAACTTCCTGCTTTGCAGAACCTGCAGATTTCGCATGTGTGTTTTAGCAATAAAACACCAAGCCGCACATGCGTAAGTCATTGCTGGTCTTATGACCACCTTATAGAGTCGAATCTTGTTAATCAAACTTAATTTTGAACGTTTACATAATAATGGGTAAAGGTGTCGAAACGTAATTTGGAATTTAGTTTTTAGCGCTTCCATATGGTTCCGCCAAGTCATCCCTTTGTCCAGAATGACACCGAGATACTTAGCGGAGGATTCACATGATATACGAAGTCCATTCATTGCCACTTCAGACGGAACGCCACGACGTCTTTTTGTACAGTAGATTACCTGCGTTTTCGAATGGTTTATTTTAATTAGCCACCGATCCGCCCAATCTAATACTTCCTCCACCGCACTTTGCAGCCTGTCATGGACTAGGTCACCAGACCACGACTGAGCCACCAATGCAGTATCGTCAGCATAGAGATAGACTTCACAGTTGCTGCGACTAGGGACGTTATGGATGTACAGTGAGTAAAGGATAGATCCAAGGACCGAACCCTGAGGGACGCCGGCTGTAATCAGCCGTGATGTCGACAGGACATTGTCAATTTTGATCCGAAATTTCCTACCTTCAAGGAAGGATTTCAGTAGTTTTAGAAGCCAAAAAGGGAAGCCCTTTTGGATTAGTTTATACAAGAGGCCCGCGTGCCACACCTTGTCAAATGCTTTTGAGACATCCAAAAACAAGATGCCAGTACTTTCGTTAAGGGTGAATCCTCTGGTTACACGTTCCACCAGCCTAACCGCCTGTAGCTCCGTACTATGTTCAGACCGAAAACCGAATTGCACGTCAGGAATCACATGGTGATCTGACGAGAAATTCTCAAGGTGACGTAGAATCACCTTTTCAGCGAGCTTAGACGGAGCTGACAGCAGGCTAATGGGACGATAATCCTGGGGAAATATCGAACCCACCTTCTTTGGAATCATTATAACTTCAGCGGCCTTCCACGCGGATGGGAAGTACTGGATCCTTAGCATGGTATTGACTATTGCCACGAGATAAGTTAAGGACTTCCGCGAAAGCAGCTTCAGCGCCTTATTAGTGATTTGATCCTCCCCAGTTGCTTTACGCACTTTAAGGTCTTCAATATGACCTTGAATCTTTGCTCGTGTGCAATGCGGGATCTCAGGAGATACCGCTGATGTGCTAAGCAGATCTTCGGTTGAAGAAGCTTCTGAAGAAGAATCTTCTGATGAAGAAAAATCACCAACGATAGCGCGACTGTCACTGATGCCGTTGGCCTTAAAATATCTCCTGACAGATCTTACGATGTGTTGCTCATCGTCGAGGTCATTATCAAGATCATACTTCGGACAGAACTGTCTTTCCATGGCATCGGCGAAAACTTCAACCTTCTCCTCTATCCTGAAGACAATGCCTCCAGGACCGTGAATGTGTGGGATTTGTTCACGCTTTCCGTTTTTGAGCGACTTCGCCACCTTCCAGAGTGGAATGCTTGAGTCAAGCATCCCTGCCAGAAAGTCGTTCCATTGCTCATTGCGGAATTCATGAAGAGCATTTCTTACTTCATGAACAAGATTCGTCGCTCTGCGAATGTCATCAGGATGACAAGACCTTTTCGCCTGCTTAATTGCAGCCCTTTTATCAGAAATTTTCTGACGAATGTCTGCTGGCAGAAAAGGTCTGCCGTGTCGCTGCACGGGAAGTACAGCTGCACGTTGCAGAATTTGCTGAACAAAACTTGTCCACTCTGCTTGAGCCGCATCTATACCGTTCTCATTATCTATGATCGCTATATTAGGAACTCTCTGAGGAGCGACTTGTATAGCTCCCAATCAATGCGTTTCCTTGGAGGGGTTTCATCCCCCAAGATCTGCTCAATAGGGTACGCTCATACTGGAGCCGACTATGTGCGACTTGGAGTCGTGTGTAATCGTCCGATTACACACGAAGGTTCCCAACTTACGTAAATGCATATCTGTTCTCACACTGCAGACGATTTGCTCGTACGACTACGCACGTATAGGAGCGACAAGCGACTCGATCCAAACGAGTTTGGATTTTGTGGTATAGTCGTGCGTGCTTATTAATTTTCTGTATAGGAAAAAATGGATACAGAAAGACTAATAATGTTGGTTCACGAACAAGAGTGTTTGTGGAATTTAAATAGTGAAAATTACCATTCGAGAGATTTGCAAAGAAAGGCTTGGAAAGAAATAGCATCAGAAATGAAGTGCACAGGTATGTATTTTGTAAACAAACATTAATTTTTTTAAGACAGAATATTTTTATTCTTAATGCTAGAAAAAATTATATACGATTATTATTGAAAAAAGACTTAAATTGTTCTCGAATAGCATATGCTCTTCTGACAGCATGGTTTTCACCTCTGTTACGTGCTCGAATGGCTGCGTTTTGTTGGAAGCCATTCGGTGTGGGTTCAATGTTCAAAGGTATACCCTCTCTGTCAATAACAATATTATGAAGAAGGCATATGCGTTGGATAATAATGTCAGCTTTTTGAAGGTGATGAACTTCCATACTTTTAGTTAGTAGTCTCCATTTGCTAGTCATTATTCCAAAAGCACATTCAACGACTTGTCTAGCTAATGACAAACGTCTATTATAGTATTCTTCCTCAGGTCCTAAGCTTCTTTCTTTAGGGTATGCTTCATCTGCTATTAGTACGTGAGGCAAAAATACGTTGGTACCCGGCAAATGTCGTTCAGAAGCAGCATTGAGGGAACCATTTTCTTACCGCTTCGATAAATGTGAATTCGAAAATATCCCACCATCGCTTTCTTTGCCACAAGCCCCAACTTCTATTGCAATAAATCTATAGTCTGGGCCAGCAATACCTTGTAGGACGATTGAAAAAAAATTCTTATAATTGTAGAACATGTTGCCAGAGTTTGCAGGGGCTTTGATATGGATATGTTTCCCATCAATGCATCCTATACAATTTGGGAACTTCCACCGCTTCCAAAAGTTATCTGTAATTTGAATTGCTTCCTCATTCGATGGAAATTTCGTGTGGATTTCTCCAAGATTTTCCCATATCGCCCTGCATGTTTCGTGTACAATACCGGCAACTGTATTATTAGCCATTCGGAAAGAAAATCCAATACTCCGAAAGGATGAGCCCGTAGCCAGATATCTAAAAAAAATATACTATATTTTACGAATTTTTCTTGAAGTTTGGTTCACATATAATTGCTGAATAATAAGTTAGGTATTTGAAATTATAACATATTTATTTCCAAACGTTTCGGCTGCATTTTCAGCCTTTATCAATGGTATGCAGCGCAAAGCTTGGAGGGACACACCCAATTTTACATGAGCCCCTTAAATGCCAAATGGTGTAAGTCACACGAAACGAATTGGGATATATTCAATGTTTTATTGCATTTAATATAGAAATTTCAGAATAAAATTAAAAAAATCTTGTTATGTTATATAGTTAGGAAATATGTGCTTTATTCTTAGATTAATAATTTTAACATTTAACAATTTTCTATATTAAATGCAATAAAAGATTGAATATATCCAAATTCGTTTCGTGTGACTTACACCATTTGGCTTTTAAGGGGCTCACATATAAAATTAAAACATCATTTACACTATAGATAGTCAAGACATGAACCGAATAAAAAAATATATTTTGTTGCAGGTGACGACTTAAAGAAAAAATGGAGAGGTTTAAGAGATATCTTCAGAAGGGAGTTTAAAAAATCTACTTCACATAAATCTGGCGGCGCAGCTAAGGTCTACACCTCTAAATGGCCATTTTATAAACTAATGTTTTTTCTAAAAGATATAATGACGCCAAGAACCTTGGAAGGTAGTGTCCCCGAACCTGAATTTGAGGCAACTGACATTAATGAAGCGGATGTCGAGCATGATGACGATGATAATATATCTACAGAACAATCACCGCCAACGACACCAACGACTTCACAAACTCTGCTCCCACAAATCCATCAATCACCACAATCATCATCATCATCCTCTAAACGCCTGTTCAAGTCACCACCAAAGAAGAAAAATAGGCGACAGAATGAAGCAGCTAATTGAGCAAGAGAAATTGAAATATTTCAAGGGGCCTGTGCAGGATAGCGAAATGCAATACCTAATGAGTTTGCACCCTTTTCTTAAAAAAATACCCGCTTCTCAACAGTTGTCCGTACGAGCGGACTTGATGCAAGTTCTCATGAAGAATCAACCCACTCCATCATATTTACCAACTCCCAGTCCAGGCTACGAGTCATCGAAGACTGGCTAAGTGATTGTTCGAGCGCCCAACCTAGTACAAGCTACGTAATTTTGGAAGGAGCTCGTCAGTTACCCACACAGCACAATCCGCCTCAGCTTCAGACTTTTTTCACAAGTTTTGATCCAACAGACATCGAAAAAAGAAGCTAATCTGTTCCAAAATGTCTCCAAAAAAATCCATCATATTTACCAACTCCCAGTCCAGGCTACGAGTCATCGAAGACTGCCTAAGTGATTGTTCGAGCGCCCAACCCAGTACAAGCTACGTAATTTTGGAAGGAACTCGTCAGTTACCCACACAGCACAATCCGCCACAGCTTCAGACTTTTTTCTCAAGTTTTGATCCAACAGACATCGAAAAAAGAAGCTAATCTGTTCCAAAATGTCTCCAAAAAAATCTGAGAGAGGTTCTTTATTTTTATATCCGTTAGAAATAGGTTTAGTTCAGTTACAAAGAAGTTTATTTGTGTTCTATTTCTGTTAAATGACGTTTGTTTAAAAATTTATTTGTTTAAAAAAACGTTTATGTTGAAGAATAAAAAGTTAATTAAGTTATAATTTCAATATTCTGTTTATCTTCTTACCTCAGTGTCACAGTCAAACGCTCTTCAGGGGATATCACACGGCGAAAATTGTTGTATTTAGTCAGGTCAGACTTAACATGTTCCAAGATATAGTTGAAAGTTTCTAAACTCATACGGAAATATTCAAAAAACTTTGTGGGGTTTTCCTTTAAATCATCCATTAGATGATGGAACTCGCCAAATTCTTCTCTCTTCATATATATATTTCGTTTATCCATTCCATCCTCCTCTGACGCCTTCGCCTTCGACGTCGTAGCAGATTGTTTTCAGCCAGATAAAATAATGGATTCATTTTTAAAAGTAGTAACTACACACACCAAGTACAAGAAATCTCCCGAGTATGTCCGATAAGTATGTTCCAATGTGTGCACTCTGGTCGTACGACCAAGTCGTGTGAAAAGTCGTCCGTAATCGCGATCGTGCATAATCGCAAATAGTCGGCTCCACTGTGAGCGTACCCTTAGCCACTTCCAAAACGACGGGAAGATGATCGCTTGAGATGTCATACATGATTCGAGAAGTGATACTGTATCTACAGTTTTTGGATAATGCAAAATCAAGAACATCAGGTGCCTGAAGGTGATTAAATGGGTGGTGCGTCGGCTCCTCAGTACTATGTATGAGGTAGCCATTTCGTATCACATGGTTGTACAGTCGGATCCCACTGGTGGAATTCAACCTGGAATGCCATGCTCGATGTTTGCAGTTGAAGTCCCCTGCCACAATAAGTGGACCCAAGCAGTCTAGAAGGACTACCAGATTCGCCTCTTGCAGCCTGATACCACACCTGACATACACCGATGTGATTCTTAACGGCACACCTCCCGTCACATTGACTACCACGGAGGTCGCTTCGATGCTCTGCATGTCAGCATTTGTGCTTCTGTGGTAGTCAATACCGCGTTTCACTAGCACTGCCAAGCCGCCACCCCGTCCAGTCAATCTATCAGCCCGGATAACATCGTAATTCGGGAAAGCTAGACGATCTCCCGGATTAAGTAATGTTTCCTGCAGCAAGGCCACATCTATACTTTCGTCCACAAGAGCTTGATGCAATTTCCGTTTTTTTTTGGGAATGTCCCGTACACCCAAACAATTCCAAAAAAGAATTTTGATAAATGCAGGCTGTCGTCGATTGTACCTAGCCATTTGCAGGAAAGAACGCCTGCAAAGCCTGTGCTGCGCTAATCAGAGGACCTATGATCTGCTGTAAGGACGTTAGCGCGGTTGCCAGGTCCACATTTTGCGTGTTCGCAGAAGATCCCACAGAGGGGGCAGCCCGGGTTGCATCCCTAGCTGCATCCGCGTAACTTACATTGCGCCTTTGCGCAATCACTTGCAGATTTTTCTTAGGGGCAAGTTCGGCTATTCGCTGGATGCCCCCCTCCACAGTTCGCGCACTTTCGTTCCTCTTGTTCTGTTTGAGGGCATAAGTGGATCATGAGGTCAGAAGCACATTTTAGACACTTAGGTGGTGCAGTGCAGTCAGATTGCGCATGTCCATATTTTTGGCAGCGGTGACACTGCCCGATGAGTCTTGAGTTCTTTTGAACTTCGACTCGGATAGCCAAACCTAGCAGCTCGTGTTCGTTGAACAGCTGCTGAGTTTTTTCTATCTTGGGCAGTATGACTACCACTATCCCGTTTCACCCTCCTGGTCCCAGTGGAGTAAGTTCCGCCAACTGTTGAAGTCTCTAGTATGCTTTATAAGACTATTCGTGACATTTTTCCCAAAATCATTGCACAACACTTGAAAAAATGCAAATGAAAATTTAAAATTATTTCCTTGACGCCGCAATATAGCTCCGTCGGTACCTTGGGTTATACATCTTGACAGTAGGGATGTTCGATACGATCCTATATTTAGAAGTATCAATACATTTCACGAGTATCGTCATCTTTCGATCCGGACTGTCTCAGAAAGAGTGACTGCCATTTGGCTGCGACATTACCCTGCCAAATCAGACATATCTTTCATCATTTTCAAAGAAATTGTACAAAATCTTCAAATTTGTGAAGTTAGCGAGTTTCACTTCATACGTTGTTACCAGATATGCCCAAGTAATCAGTTGCTGCCGTGATATTCATCCCGACCACTGCATCCCCACGGCTAGGCGACCTGTATGTTAAATTTGTATTGATAGGGCAGCGGGTTATGCTATAAATCATATATCACAGTGTTTGTGCACTGATTGCAAGGGTTAGATGATACCAAACATATTTTCATAAATAGGAGATCTTTCCCATTCCGGATCGAACAATCTACCAAAGATGCTTATAATCATGATACATAGTAAATTTTCACGAAAAAAATTCAAAACCAGCAAATGTAAAAGATTCATTTCGCACCCTCCACCACGGGACGTGATCGTCGTTAGACCCTGCGAGTGTCAGATAGATATCCCCGCCAGTCAAAAAAGAAAAATAGACAAACAATAAACATTACTAGTTTTTTTGATTTTTGGAGTTAAAAGCCATTATCTGTGAAACATTTTTCATAATTTTTTGTGTATGTCCATAGTAATTGCATTATGCATCAGGGAGATGTAGGGATTGACACGTCTTACACATATTATCTGTGTTTTAGGATGGAGAGGTCATAACGTTTTTATTGCTTTGAAGAAATTCATTATCCCAAAAATTAATAAATGATTACTATTATGACGTAAAGGAAGATGAGGAATTGTATGGAATGTATTTTATATTCTATTTTCTTGCAAAATACAGACAAATCCATACTATTCAACAGGTACGTAATGATAAGTTTCAGTATATTGAAGTTGGTAAATTCAAGAGTGCCATGCATTAACAAACGTCCAAATCTGCTGCCAAATTTAAGAGCTAGAAGATCGACCTACTATTTGCCGCATTCCCATTCGCTGAGGGGGATAACGGATTGTTAAATGTAAACCTATAACATATATCAAAATACATGAAAGTTGTCCTGTTTTTTCTGTACAAAAGCATAATGTTGGAATCAAAAAGTGGTCTTATTTATAATACAGTCGAATTTTCACGATTTTATTCAATATTTCAATAGAAATCACTAATATTCAGACTCCTTTGACAGCTTCCGTCAAATTGCATTTTCATAAGGTATTTTCCCATTGGTCCATAATATTAATGTTGGTGAAATTGGCCCTTAATATATCAAGCAGTAACTTAGTAGTAACTTCAATTTTGTTATAACTTTATTTTGATGTCATTAATTATGATTGGTTGTTCGACCATCTACTACCGTAATATAAACTCTTTGTAATTAAAAATTATTTCCTAGTTTTTAGTTCGGTCAGCTATAAAAGCGTGTTTTTTTAGTTTTTTTTTAAACTATTATGTATATAAAATAACAGAACTTCTAAGAGTTCTAAGCTAACTTCGGGTCGTTCGGGGTGGAAAATCGTCAGGTGTAACAAGTTCACTTGAATTCCGAGAGGCAATGGTGACTATGGCAAATAGGGTAACAAATGATACGCGGCATGGACCAGTAGAACAGCTGAATAAATTCGCAGAAAATAGTGTGTTAGACAACAACGGCAGTGCTTGTAAAATATGCTAATTTGATCACTAGATTTGATCTTGTATTTAAAATTATTCAGCATAACTTTGAAAGGGGTTTGCAATTTAGGTAGTTTCTCAATTTCTTGTAGAACGTTGAGGATTGTTCAGGAGAGAAAATACATCATGACAGATGAGAAGCCTGTAAATGAACATATATATTAAAACTGAAAATTGTTCAGGACATCAAATATTCTGAAGATGGATATACTCATTATGCTTAAATTAATATCATAGGTTGTAAATAATGTAACAAGAATGAATAGTACCGTAGGCGCCATCTGTTCTACTCGCCAGCTGCTTCATGGCTGATCTCTTCGGTGGCCACATCTGTTGAGCACCGTGCCAGTGTCTCGCCTACTAGTTCGACGCGACTGACGTCCACGATTCTGGACTATATAACTCGACGGCCGGGAGAGGAAAGCAGAGTAGAGTAGAGCAGAGCGGAGGATAGTTTAGTCAATGGCGCGACATAAGAATTAGTCAGACCTAAATAGTGGTGTACATAAATGTTCTACCAAGTTAAATAAATTAGTGCGTTTCTTTATGTGAAATCCAGTGTTTTAATCCACACCCAAAAGAACCCAGAAAAACGCTACAATAAGTAATGAAAACAAAATGTTTAGTTTTTGACCTGATACATGCAAGAACCTCTTCTTAATTCAAATCAAATCTGTTTGTCAGACCAATAATCAGGTAGATATTTTCCGACAAGTATTTTCAGGATATTGACAAAGAATTTAATTGGCTTTTACTAATCTCAGGTATTTGTGAAATTACCTACATATTTTGTAAAAACTACAATAAGTATTAAGTAAATATTATATAGTAAGTTAGTAGGCACACAAAAATAAAAATTATGGATGAAAATATACTAAGTGACATATAAATCCGAACACCCAGTTTAAATGGTTTTAATTTTAATAAAAGTTGGTGAATGTATTTATCTTACTGTAAATAACAAGTGAAAAAATTTTCAGCCTTATCAGTTGGACATTCCGGTTTTTATACTGCTTTTTTTTTAATTCACTAACGCTCTAAAATGAATATTTCAGCCGCAGTAAAGAATCAACGTTGGCGGATTTTGGTTCTTGACATCCTTTACGATCGGTTACGATGCCTAGAGTACGGAGACCTGTACGATTTCGTCAACTTAGTCAACTTCGGGAAGCTGGACTTTCTTTTCGGGCAATTGCAGTTAGAGTGCAAAGAAGTGTAGACACTGTGGTTAGGTGTTGTCAGGCATGGCTTCGAGAAGGCCGTACGCAAAGAGCAAGGGGCACTGGACGCCGCCGTGGAACAACAGACCAAGAAGATCGCCGCCTAAGATTATTGGCCTTAAGGGACCGTTTCTCCACTACCAGGTCCATTGCAAATGAATGGTTTGCAGAACATTGAAGACCTATTGGCATGCGAAGTGTTTACCGACGAATGAGAAGTTTTGGCTTGTTTTCATACCGGCCACACTGGGTCGTCCCTTTAACTCGAGAACACCGACGTAATCGCCTTGAGTGGTGCAGACAACGGTCACTCTGGGAAAGGAGGAATCCACAGTTTTTTGTTGGAAGACATGTTCATCACACTGTTGGAGTTATGGTTTGGGGTGCTATAGCTTATGGTTCCAGGTCACCTTTAATCTTCATCAGAGGTAACATGAACGCGCAGCGTTATATCCACGAAGTTCTAGAACCCCATCTTTTACCCTATCTTGACACCCTGGCAGATCCAACTTTCCAACAAGATAATGCCGGACCACATGTTGCAAGAGTCACAATAGACTTCTTTTAACATAATGATGTAACATTGTTACCATGGCCACCACGATCTCCCGACTTATCCCCAATTGAGCACGTGTGGGATACGATGGGTAGGAGATTGCTCCATTTGCAACGTCCTCCTCAGACTCTAGAAACATTTCGAGAGGAGTTGGTGGTTGCCTGGAATGAGATACCACAGGAGGACATTGACCACCTGATCAGAAGCATGCCTAGGCGCGTTGGAGAATGCGTAGCACATCAGGGTGCATCCACACATTATTAAAGGTCAAAGGGCTTTAAAGCAGTGCAATCATTTTGAAATTTTTATCATTTACTTATTATGCTTCATTAAGTACTTATACAAAATTTTATTAAAATAAAACCATTTAAACTGGGTGTTCGGATTTATATGTCACTTAGTATATTACTATACTTTCAATAAAGAAACTTTACCCCTATGAATTACTGGAGTCCTTGGTCTAATGATTCATTACACTCTTTCTTTCTCTGATTTTGAAATATATATATAATATATAATAACTTCTACAGCGTTTCAGATAAAAAGTTCGATGAAGGGTTGTTCTGAGCACCGTTCTTACCTACTATTCTAAGAAAAACGGTTTTTTTGCATTCCATCGACACGAGTTGATTAGTAGAACAGTAAAACAATGGCGTCAAGTGGGTTGACTCTGCACTTTACACGCACCGCCGTTATCAGTTTATAAAGGATTATGTTCAGCACAAACTGGACCCTCTGAGAAAAAAATAATTCAAATAGATCCATACAATTAGTCCTTTGGACATTTTCTCCCTGCCCCGCCGGTAGTGCATCTGTAAACGTCGCCTCTCCGCGATACTTATCCCGTCAGGATCAAGATCAAGTTATAGGCGGTTATAAAATTAGTGGACAGGTATACAGTCCGAAGGAAATGACACGGTTTTTCGTGATGTATGTACATGTCATATAACATCCAAAAAGCATATCTCATTGTCGAAAATTTTCGCTGTTACCTTATTTCCCCGCCAGTAGGCGTGGGAAGTAACAAGCTGATACCAACTTTGAGTTCAGAAGAAATTCTCAGAAAAGCACGATACCATTTTCAGCAGTCGAATGTGGCATATCGGATATTTGATGGTATCTTCAGGTGCGTAGTATTTTATTCAAATGATTTTAGAGGTTTGACGTCACTCATGTAAACAACCAAGAAAACACCTCACGTATTTATTAATTCTTGTACGCAGATACTCGTATGATGTTAGGTATAGCGTAGCTTCAGCACCTGATATGACGCAAATGTAAATGCGGTCACGGTCAAGGTCACCGCGAAAGTAAAAGCAAAAGCGCACACGTTCGAATACGATCATCGATGACCATCCTTCCGATTCCAGGAACATTTTTATGAAAGCCGATAGCGCTTGCCAAGCTACGAGGGGCGCCCCATAATTATATCAACTTTTTAATCTCTGTGAGGATGAGGGTTTTGAACTGATTCTTTATGTGCGTGTGTTGAGACATCTAGCAGTTAGCTTTCAGCCGTTCTGGGGACTGCACTTGCATAATGAGTTACTTGCGTTGAAGCACAGCGTCAAATTAACTTCAGATTCCTATCCTACAGACCCGATTTATCCAAGAAACTAGCACTCGGTAACGATAAAAATGTGTAGGCATTTCTGTTTCTTTTGTTCGAAGTCACTTAAGTAATTTGGAACGCTGAAGATGGCAATCTAAAAATTCTGTGGCGTTGTGGGATCAAATTTTGCTTGAAAAAACGGGTAGCTTGTGATCCTCCATGGATCCCAGCATCAACCTAATGGCAAAAAACGTGTTATTAGTCAGATCACAAAGATGTATGAGTTTTTGAAAATACCACATGATTTTGTAAGGCGAAATTTTGTTATACTATCACTCAAGATGTTTACACGGAACTAGTTTTGCAACCTTATTCGCTATAGGATCTATACTGGAGCTGTCGAATTGTAGTAGTAATACTTCATTATAGTGGACACTCATTCAAGTAGAGTATATTTAAAAAAATTTGCATCATCATTTTCACACCTTGATCCGGAGAAACGTTCCATGTATGGACTCCAGCCCTCTCTAAATTCAGAATTTTGTTCAGGTACAGGCAATCTCGGTGTTGTGGGATCAAATTTTAAGTGAAAAATTGGATCTTATCGTCAAACTAATAACAAGAAACGAGTTACTTTATCAGTACTACGATTTAGTAAGTCGCAATTTTGAAGTCGAGCAGCTAAAATGCAAGCTAATTTATTATATTTTCACTCGTGATGTTGTTTCTGTTTTATCTGGTTTTGGTTACCTTATATGCTCTAGGATCTTGACTAGAGCTACTGAATTGCAATCGTAATAGCAAACTTTGTTACACATTCATTTAGAATATATTCATAAAAAATTAGCATCATCATTTACACCTTGCATTCTGAAAATTTCCATGATGATGAGACGTCACAAAGTTGTTTGGTAACGAGAAAAAAGTGTCGGCAGTTAGCATACATTTGCACTAAATGTATCAATTTGCATGATAAGAAATGTCTGCAAAGACGAAAAACAATTATCATATTTGTAGTTTATAGACTCAGAATTGATGGGCCACTGCCAGAAAAACGTTCCACGTTCGGGCTCCAGCTCTCTCAAAAATCAGACAATCTCGGAAAGCGGTCAATTCTGTCAGAGAATGTCGCGTATTTATTGTTGCTTATGGTCGACAAAAAAACTTCTGCTGTTGTGGTATCAAATTTTAGGTGAAAATGGGTAGCTTGGGATCCTCCATGGAACCTAGCAACAAACTAATCGCAAAAAACGAGTTGTTGGTTAAATCACCAAGGCGTACGAGTTTTTGAGAAACCACATGTTTTTGTGAGACGAAATTTCGAACTTGAACGGATAAATTGGGGCGTGTTTTACAAAAACAACATATGTCCAGAATTAAGAATTTTCAGGAAACAGAAAAAATGATTTACAGTGAAAGCTCTCTTATCGAGCAGCTCTAATAAGCGACCATCTTCCTTAAGCGGCAAAATTTTTTGGAACCGATTTTAGTCCTATATTTTAACATAGAAAGGTACACTCCAATAAGCGGACGCTCTAATAAACGGACGCGAGCAGCAATTTTTGCACATAGGACGAAATAATATCTCCTATAAGCGATCGCGAAGCTCTAATAACCGAGCAAATGAAGTTTAACCATTGCTTTAATATGCCCATTCGGTGATTCCCCGCGAGGGATTTACAGTATTACACCATCACAAGTTGTTGTGTTAGAGGTTAGAATTTAGAGTTAGAAGTTTAGCAGTGCTAGTGTTGTTGTTTGTGTTTTAGTGTGCACTTTTAATTTACAATAATATGCCGCCGAAAAAGCGAATGTTGACGCTAGAAGAAAAGATGGAAATTGTGAATGTTATTGATAAGGAAAAATTATCAACTCGGGCTTTAGCATTGCGATTTAATATAGGAAAGACACAAGCGACGTTGATTGCAAAAAATAAGGAGGATATCCGACGTTTTTCTACTTGAACAACAAAAAAGAAGTTTTTGTAGGACTGAAGGCTTAAACATCAATAAAGCATGTTTTGAGTGGTTATTAGTGCTAGAAATCGAATAATACCCATATCTGGGGGGCTTGTAAAACAAAAAGCAGAGGAAATTGCACAAAAATATGGTTATCAAAAATTTAGTGCATCCGATGGGTGGCTTCAAAAGTGGCGTAAAAGGAACAATGTTAGTTTTGAATGCATTTCTGGTGGAGCGGCCGATGTAAATCAAGAGACAGTAGATGCATTCCTTCATTGCTTTTGGGATACCAATGTGAAGACATTTACAATGCCGACGAAAGCGGTCTATATTTTCGTGCGCTTCCGGATAAGACACTGGCTTTAAAGTCTGAAAAGTGTTCGTGGGGAAAATTATCGAAAGAAGGACTAACCATATTATTCTGTGCAAGCATGACTGGTCAAAAAGAAAATCTGTTAGTGATTGGCAAAGCTGCACGTCCTCGAGCATTGAACTGCCATTATGTTTTCGCAACGATGGTCCGAGCTGCGGATGAGCTGAACATTAC